CACGCCAGGTTCTCCCGTGCACAGCGAAGGAGGAGAGCACGCCATGGTTCTCCCGTGCACAGCGAAGGAGAGAGCACGCCAGGTTCTCCCGTGCACAGCGAAGGAGAGAGCACGCCAGGTTCTCCCGTGCACAGCGAAGGAGAGAGCACGCCAGGCTCTCCCGTGCACAGCGAAGGAGAGAGCACGCCAGCTCTCCCGTGCACAGCGAAGGAGAGAGCACGCCAGGCCTCTCCCGTGCACAGCGAAGGAGAGAGCACGCCAGGTTCTCCCGTGCACAGCGAAGGAGAGAGCACGCCAGGCTCTCCCGTGCACAGCGAAGGAGAGAGCGCGCCAGGTTCTCCCCTGCACACCAGGTTCTCCTGTGCACAGCGAAGGAGAGAGCACACCAGGTTCTCCCGTGCACAGCGAAGGAGAGAGCACACCAGGCTCTCCCGTGCACAGCGAAGGAGAGAGCACGCCAGGTTCTCCCGTGCACAGCGAAGGAGAGAGCACGCCAGGTTCTCCCGTGCACAGTGTAGGAGAGAGCACACCAGGTTCTCCCGTGCACAGTGTAGGAGAGAGCACGCCAGGTTCTCCCGTGCACAGCGAAGGAGAGAGCACATCAGGTTCTCCCGTGCACAGCGGAGAGAGCACGCCAGGTTCTCCCGTGCACAGCGAAGGAGAGAGCACACCAGGTTCTCCCATGCACAGCGAAGGAGAGAGCACACCAGGTTCTCCCTTGCACATTGAAGGAGAGAGCACACCAGGTTCTCCCATGCACAGCGGAGAGAGCATGCCAGGTTCTCCCGTGCACAGCGAAGGAGAGAGCACGCCAGGTTCTCCCGTGCACAGCGAAGGAGAGAGCACACCAGGTTCTCCCGTGCACAGCAAAGGAGAGAGCACACCAGGTTCTCCCATGCACAGCGGAGAGAGCATGCCAGGTTCTCCCGTGCACAGCGAAGGAGAGAGCACGCCAGGTTCTCCCGTGCACAGCGAAGGAGAGAGCACACCAGGTTCTCCCGTGCACAGCAAAGGAGAGAGCACACCAGGTTCTCCTGTGCACAGCAAAGGAGAGAGCGCGCCAGGTTCTTCCCTGCACACCAGGTTCTCCTGTGCACAGCGAAGGAGAGAGCACACCAGGTTCTCCCGTGCACAGCAAAGGAGAGAGCACACCAGGTTCTCCTGTGCACAGCGAAGGAGAGAGCGCGCCAGGTTCTCCCGTGCACAGCAAAGGAGAGAGCACACCAGGTTCTCCCGTGCACAGCAAAGGAGAGAGCACACCAGGTTCTCCTGTGCACAGCGAAGGAGAGAGCACACCAGGTTCTCCCGTGCACAGCGAAGGAGAGAGCGCGCCAGGTTCTCCCCTGCACACCAGGTTCTCCTGTGCACAGCGAAGGAGAGAGCACACCAGGTTCTCCCATGCACAGCGAAGGAGAGAGCACACCAGGTTCTCCCGTGCACAGTGAAGGAGAGAGCACACCAGGTTCTCCCGTGCACAGCGAAGGAGAGAGCACGCCAGGTTCTCCCGTGCACAGCGAAGGAGAGCACACCAGGTTCTCCCATGCACAGCGGAGAGAGCATGCCAGGTTCTCCCGTGCACAGCGAAGGAGAGAGCACGCCAGGTTCTCCCGTGCACAGCGAAGGAGAGAGCACACCAGGTTCTCCCGTGCACAGTGTAGGAGAGAGCACACCAGGTTCTCCCGTGCACAGTGTAGGAGAGAGCACACCAGGTTCTCCCGTGCACAGTGTAGGAGAGAGCACACCAGGTTCTCCCGTGCACAGTGTAGGAGAGAGCACGCCAGGTTCTCCCGTGCACAGCGGAGAGAGCACGCCAGGTTCAGGCCCTGCATGCACCGTTAGCAGTGGCCTGATCCACACCCCCGGGCACTGTCACGCACGGACCCACCTGTGCTGCCATGGAAGGACCCCTCCCCATCCCTCCCCCTGGGTCTGAAATACAGAAAGCAGAGGGCATTCCCCGGGCCACTGACACTCAGGTGCTTAAACAGGACCTGGGAATAGACATCAAGCCCGGAGCAGGGGTCAGTATCCCCTCACAGGCCATAAACCCAGCCCAGGCGGCGAGGGTTCTTCATCTCCCAGAAGGGGCCGTTCTGGGTGCAGGGAGGGTGGAGGGGGTGACAGACTTTTCCGACATCCTGGGTGGGTGCTGAGTTTTAGATTTCACTTGGGAAATTGAAAAATGTAAGAGATGAAAGCACCAAATGACCATAGTAGTGAATACCCTCCCCACCAAGAAGCAGAAGCAGCTACCGTGGTGTGTGAGAGGGGGTGAGATTCCCCCCCCACCCCAGCCTCTGCTGGGGACCCTGGCAGAGCGGACTTCCCGGCACAGGCTTCAGCAGCTGCTGGGAAAGAGATGGGGAGAGATGGGGAGAAGCGGAAGTGATGGTTGACTGCGGAGCGGTGGGAGGAGGCAGCCAGCCATTCATTTGGAAATGGAGATTCGGTCACTGTTACAAACACCTTACCTTCAGGATCCTAAAAATATAAAACCTAACCTACGTTGAGGCAAAGTTTACTCATAACAGATCGATACCTGCTCTGTATATCATCATCTTCAAAGTACCCTGGCTAGTTTATAAGAACTTTTTCCTACTGGTTGGTCGCCATGGAAACCTGCATTGACATCTGCTGCCTTAATCTGCACTTGGCTTGAAGTGGCAGTCGGGTCTTTTGTTGGGCGGACACACATCAGGACGGTGGGTGCTTCTGGATTCAGGGCGCTGACAGATTGCTTTGTAGGAGCCAGGCAGATGGCAAAGCATTTTTAAATCACTGAGGACTCCGTTGCACCACGCCAGCGCTTGGCAATCATTGCCAGGCCCTGGAGTCTTCGAGGGAGATGAGAGAGGTCAGAGGCAGACCCTCTGAGGTCAGGGTGACGTCTGTGTCCGCCGTTCCCGATGCCGGAATCGCTCAGGTTCTGTCTGTGCTTTGTGCAGACAGGGACGGCTGCCGCTGTTATTTTTTATTTTTATTTTTTTTCTTTATTGATTTTAGAGAAGAAGTCAGAGGGAGAGAGAGAGATACGTCCATGAGCGAGACCATCGATCGGCCGCCTCCTGCACGCCCCCCACTGGGGATCGGGCCCACAACCTGGGCATGTGCCCTGACCGGGAATCGAACCGGCGACCTCTTGGTCGATGCTCAACCATTGAGCCACACCAGCCGGGCCAGGCTGCTGCTTTTAAGCTTCCCTGTGCATGTGTTCATTGGCCACGAGGAGCCTGTGGTGGACTCCCCAGTTCTCACGTGGAAAGCAAGGACATAGCCCCCGTAACCCGAACCCGGGCAGGGGGAGTAATGGCTGTAGCCATTCCCTCTGAGCAGATTTAGTGGAAGAATAGCGTCTATTCTTGTCTTCGTCTGCTTGGGCCCCCACAACAGAAGACCAAAGACTGGGTGGCTTAACCACACATTTATTTTCTCACAGTCTGGAAGCTAGAAATCCAGGGACGGGGTTCTAGCCGATTTGGTTTCTGGGGCGCCCCCTCTTCCTGGTCGGCAGGGGTCCCCCTTCTGCCCACGTGGTCTTCCCCCCCCCCCCCAGCAGAGCGCACTGGTATCTCTGCCGAGAACACGAATCCTCCTGGACCGGGGCCGCCCTGGGGCCTCATCGAACCGTAATGACCTCTTAACGGCCCCATTTCAGAGACAGTCACGTGGAAGTTAGTGCTTCCACATATGAATAGTTGAGGGGATGCCAGTCAGTCCCTGGGATGTCTCAATTAAAAAAAAAAAAAAAATACCTATTATCACTTCATTCCTTTGAATTGGATACTAGAGTTGTGTCTTTTATTTTTTTTAACAAGGGCAAATTTAGTAAACCAAAGAATAGAGTGGACACGTTATCTTAAATATCTAGAATGACAGGTATCTGTAAATCAAAAGTTTGTGAGTCACTGAGAAAAACCATCCCACTGTAAGGGGAGGGAAGCTGTGATGTCCTCCTGGGCTGTATCGAGGCTGATTTACAGTTATTCCCTGGCCGCCTCCTCCCCCAAGATTTCCTCCTGGATCTTCTGAGAATCCTTTGGTCCATTTGAGAAAAATATACGTTGGAATTATGTGTGGATATCACCTATTGTGTCTAGTATAATAGTTATGCATGTGTACTGGTTTACAAAACTGATCTCAAGAATAAAAGGTGATAGAAATAACGTCCGCGTACTTGCCAGGAGCTGGAGGAGGGGAGCGTTACTGGTATCCAGACCCAATCCGTGCCCCTGCCTCGCCCCCAGCACCGAGGTTGATGGTCAGTTTCCGTGGTCTTCTTGACAGTCCACTGCCTTGACCACGTGCGCCTTGGTGTTACGTGGGGGTGGGGGGAGGGGGGTGGGTGTCATTTCCTTTATTGTGAACATTGTGGGGAGGGAGCGACGCAGGCCTCATGTCCGAGGCCTGTACCCAGGGCGCCCAGGTTTGTCTCTGGTCCCTGCGCCGCACGAACTCGGAAGCGCTCATTCCTCACTCAGTTCTGGCAAATGTTGCTCTGGTAGGAGCCGGCTTCGGGGTGCTGCCTACCCTCGGGATCCTCTCCCCCTTCCACTTGCTTTTGGACCTATATTTCTTGCTTGCTTCCGAGTTCATCACCGCAGGTCGGAATACTTTTATCATATTTCCTCCATCATCTTCGGCTGTGTTGATCTCAGGGTTCTTTCGGAACCTTGGTTATACCCCTGGAAACGGAAGGCTGGATCCGAGCTGGTTTAAGATGTTCACGTCATTTTTCTCTTTCCTTTCCCTCTGCGCAGAGCTGTGTCATCCTCGACAAGCCTCATTTTGATTGTGTGCAAATACTTTTTTCCCTCACCTAATTTTTTTGGCCTCTCTTTTATCTTTAATTGACTGCATAGTAATTGGACAAAATGTATGTAAACAGCTGATGACATGGGCTTGTTGGAGATAATTCTTCTCATTGGGATGTCCCTGGGCAGGAAGTAATGGAAATACGTGTAAGAATTAAATGACGATTGTGTTTACACCCTGTCCGCCAGGCCGCCCCACTGGACAAGAACCACGGTCCCAGCCAGCGCTCCGTGAGACTGTTTAACGGACACGCCTACAGCGGTGTGGACACTCTGGGGAAGGAGCTCTTTCTGTACTTCGGGCCCAAAGCTTTGCGGTAAGATAGACCCGTACAGTACCTCTCACGTCTGTGTTCAAAGGGGGGCGGGAGGTTTGTGCAGCTGCAGGGGTCCCATTATTCAAGCAGAACGCACTCCATTTCTAAGAGTGCGCTGACGGGAGAAGAGAGAGGCTTCCGTGGAAACAGCAGCAGCGGCAGCAGAGGTGTGATGTCCTCGTCACTTGGAGGCTGGGCAATTTATTCCTTTTTTGTAAACAGTCCGTGGGCTCGGCGGGCTTCCCGAGAGACGTTAGCCCAGCACGGCCCCCAGCTCCCCGCACAGCTCTGCCCCGCGGAGTGCTTATTGCCGTCACGCGTCCGTTTCTTGGTGTTTACGGCAGCTCCTAGCTCGGTTTACATGGATCTCTAGATTTTTATATCTTTCTACCTTATTTCTTTCTCTGGAGTCTCTGATGGCATCGGACACTGATTGTAGGATTCAGAACCTTCCCGGGAAGCCGCGGGCTTGCGGCAAGTCCCCGCCGCGTTGTCGCCAGGGGCCTCGCGATCCGCTCCGGGGCTGACTTAGGGAGGAAAACGTTGCCATGTATGGAGTTGCCCGAGCATGAGCACCTGTTCCTTTTTTTCAGAAAAATGAGAAAGGCTCACGGGTGAATATGCCTATCAAGTTCCAGTCTGCTCCGAGGCTAGCCCAGGCCATGGCAAGCCATGAAGATTGGCACTGCTTCCTCGCGTGTTTTTATTTATTTTTAAACTTTTTTCTGTATTGATTTTAGAGAGAGAGAGGCAGTGAGAGGGAGAGAGAGATAGAAACATCGATGAGAGAGAACATCGATTGGCCGCCTCCCGCATGCCCCCCACTGGGGATCGGGCCCACAACCTGGGCATGTGCCCTGACCGGGAATTGAACTGGCGACCTCTTGACACTCAACCACTGAGCCACACCGGCCGGGTCCTTGCGTGTTTTTAATGTTTCTTTAAGCTACTGAACCGTTTTTATCTTAAGAGAAGTGTCCTCGGACTGGGCTCTGTGCCACCAGCCGAGGCGAAATGGGCCCAAGGGGACGATGTGGGCTCTCCCAGAGGCCCCGGGGACATGAGACTGTTACTGTGTCATCTGCCGCACCTGTGGAGGGCCCCAGAGTTTATGTCCCTGCGTGTCCTTGGAGTGTGCTCCGTCGTCAGCAGCTGCTGTCCGTGGACGACAGGGTCACATCCCATGTGGAGTCGCCCACAGCAGCACGCACCCCGCTTCTGCAGCGCTGAGCTGCTGCAGGCTGGCTGTTGGCACCGGCTGCTGTGACTGTGGGCTCGGCTCTGGACAGAGTGGGCACCGTGGAGTCCATGTACGAGCGGCTGCGGGCACGCGTGTGCTCTTGGCTCTCTGGTGTCGGTGCGGATTCGTTTCTGGAGGGAGAGAGGCAGGCAGGTGTCATCAAGGCCCCCCCCCCAGGCTGATGGGGGAATCGTTTCTCAGCGCAGGGCTGTCAGGAAGTGGACAAGGCAGCCGCCCCTTCAGATCAGGCCAACGGGTGCCATCCCTGGAGAGGGCGTGTCTCTGGGTCAGCCGGGGAGACCTGCGGGCGGCTTCCTTTCGCTTCCCCGCAGTCTCCAGGACTGTTTGATGTGACTGTTCAAGGTCAAGGGCACATCAGGTGTTTGACTAGGAACTGAGCTTCCCCAAATCAACTGAAGGTAAAAGATGCACCCCAGCCCATGCCTCTTGGGAGAATGCATGACTCTGTCACAGAAATGTGATCGTTGTGAGGCTGCGGGTCCATGAGCAGGAGACAGAGATGCCGTCTTCACCTCTCACTCCTGCCTCTACCCACCGGGCTGGCCTGCGGTTTAGTGGGTTTATAGCCAGAACCGCGCTTAACGATCACTCAGTTTTCCCTGAAGGCGCAGCTCTGCACGGTTGAAGTTGCCCGTGGATCTGAGGGCATCTGATGGGGCACCGAGCCTCTTCCCCGGTTCCTCTGTGCTGAGACTGGGGTGAGACGTAGCCCCTGGAAGACTGTGCCATGTGGTGTCCACGCTTCAGAAAGACACACTAGCGAGCGACCGCTTCTCTCACTCAGAGATGTACCGTAGGAACACCATAGAAACTGCAGGGTATTTGCTACATGTACACTTGCTTTGGGTGTGCAGCTGTGGTACGTGTGAGTATACCTGTGCTTCTGAACGCTTCACAGGGGCTCTTCATCTATAGCAAACACAGATTGTTTTTAATTTTGGTGTTATATACGTAACAAATACTCATTAGAGCAAACTGAGAATTAAGAACAAACAAGAATGAATGGACACATTCGCCATCTCTCTACCAACTATAATCCCCCCGAACTGTGGGTGCATATCTTCCCAGTGTTGAGTGTGCACACATCTATAAATCTGTTCACCCAGACACACCCACCCTGCAAACTGCCATTTGCAATTAAAGTGAACACAGCTGTTACATCTTGCACTAGCATTTACAAGATATATTTTTTTAATGAATCTCTCTTTCCAAAACACTTTGCTATTTTCAGTTTGTGATGTATATGACTCTGATTGTTTGCAATTACCACACATGCTCAGAAACTAGGTCTGAAATATTTGAGAGGCTTTGCCATTCTAGAGAAGCTTCATACATTATCGATTTTATAATTTATTTCAGTTTAAGTGATATGATCCTCTAGACAGCTATGCAAGAGATAATGTGACAGTTCTTCTCAGCTTGCTAAAGTTTTTATGGAATCTGTCAGATGCTACTTAAAGTGTTTTACAGTTTAGAGTCTGACTAAAGTCTTTACAGTAGTAAGTACCTAGTGTAGTCTTCCCAGCATGCCCACTCACCTTTCGGGGACATTATTCGTCCTGGACACTAGTCTTCGGCTACAGTAACCACAGAGTTCAGGCTGAATTCAGTGCCACCTTACCAACCTCTCTCAGGCAGCCCAGTGGGTCAGGCTGACGTTTTTCTGAGACTTTCTGATCTGGCCGAGCAAGGTCTCTGTGATGTAGGAAGCTGGGGTGTGGGGCCTCAGCATAGGGAGTTGGCCTTGTTACGGGGCTTGTCATGAAGGACCGTGTGAGGTGCAGGGGGGTAAAGCCAGCCACAGAAAGGAGAGAGAGTCCCATGGGCGCTGTGGTCCTTATTCCAGCCGTTCCTGAGATCCAGCTACTTTCTGCCTTTTCTGCCGTGGCTGCTTCAACCCTCCCTGAGGTTCCGTGAGCTACGGAATGTCCCTCAGTGCCTAAAAGGTTTCGAGTTGGGTCTCTGTCGCTTGCGGTTAGGGAAGCTGGCCCTTATCAAAAGGCGCGGACTTCCAGTTATAAAATGAGTCCGTCATGGGGTGTAAGGGACAGCGTGGGGTCTCCAGTTAGTAATGCCACGTTGCGTATTTGAAAGTTGCTAAGTGAGTGGGTCCTAACAGTTTTCAGCACAAGAAAAACATATTTTTTTGTGACTGTGTAAAGTAAGGGATGTTACCTAGACTTAGTGTGGTGATTATTTTGCAACATATACAAATACCAAATCATTATGTCATACAACTGAAACTGGTAGAATGTGATACATGCCACCTGTACCTCAATTTCAAATAAATGATTGAATGAATGAATGAATGAATGAATGAATGAAAAAAAATTGAAAATTAATCTCAGGCATAAAATTGAACTTTTTTTTTTTAATCCTCACTCGAGGACACCTTTCCATTGATTTTCAGATAGAGTGGGAGGGAGGGAGAGAGAGAGAAACATTGATGTGAGAGAGACACACCGATTGGATGCCTCCTGCATCACCCTAACCAGGGCTGGGGATCGAACTGCAACCAAGGTCTGTGCCCTTGGCAGGGATCAAACCCATGACCACTTGGTCTGCGGGCTGACACTCTAACCCCCGAGCCAAACTGGCCAGGGCAGAAAATGAAACATTTTTAGTTTTAGAAATGGTAACTTTCCTTTCCTATTTCAGTCACCATGTGCTTCTGTGTGGAACTGGAGGGAATATGGAAACCTTTACCTCGTTCCCGTACCTTGTTCAGCACCTGGCGGCCACAGGGTCGCTGCTGCTGCTGCCTGGCTTTCCTTCTTCCTTTACATAAGACACGTTGTTTATTCTAACCCCCCATTTTAACAGGTATTTACAAGTCAACTGTGAACATTAAGATAGTTCCAAACAGTCTCAAGGGAAAAGTAAATACCACCCTGTGGGGATGGGGGCTGGAAGATGGACTTCTTTTGACCTTGTGTTAAGCACTCTCAACCTTGTGTTACTGCATTCTCGGAATCCTAGCTGGGGAGGGGGGCGGACCTGGCCCAGGTGTACTGGGTGCTTCATTTGCATGTGAATAAGGGTTTGTTATCTTTGGGCTTCAAGGTCTCTTCAGCTAAAAAGCAAGAGACAAAGCTAGGGTGTATGCAGTAATGCCATCTCAGGGATATAATTTACTTAAATCCACTTGTGACCTGGGGGTACGAGCCTGCAAATAAATGGGACTCTGTCCAGAGAACTGGAGCATTTGCTCCCTTGCAAAGCTCCCCCTCACTCCAAGCAGCATGTGCTTGCAGTTTCATTGCGTTGCACCGATCCCGCAGGCCAAGAGACGGCACCACCCTTAATTACTACCACCAAAAAACGTGCTCTGAACAGTTTTTGGAAATACCTTAGATGAAATGTAAGTTGTATATATCCACCATCTATTCATACATAGCATGGGTTGTAATATGATACGGTATAGTCTAATTGTATGTAAATGGGATTTCAAATTTATATTTGGCTTTTAAGTAACATGCCGATTGCATTGGTCGGTGTCAAAATAGACATGTACGTTATTATTTTTAACGTGAGCAAAGCTTGCTAGAATAGGGATCTACCTGCCGCCAGTTTTTAATCAACCACTACTGTTTAGCCTTTTCCCTTATTTTTCACTTGAATAAATAACTTTGAAATTAACATCTTTACGCACATATATTTTATCATTTTAATGTTTTCTTAGGATAGATTCCTAGATATGGGTTTGCCAGGTCTTTGAGAGTATATAGAAATCTATCATGAATGGGAAACAAAGGAACCTGGGACTGGTTACACACTAGAGAATGACTTTGCATGACCTGCCTGGGCTCTGATTATGTATATGTATTCACACTGCTATGCAAAGTTAAAAAAGCCCAGAAATATGTTAAATTAAAAATCTATGCACAGCACGATAACCCTTGTGGAGAGGTGAGTACCTTATCACAGCCGACTCACTTGGCATAGATTTCTCAAGTAATCATTTCAATTTTTAAATTGACTTTAAGTTTCCTGCCTCTGTTCCCACCTCTGGGACATCCTGGGGTCTGGCTCTGTTGGCTGCTTTATCTCTTGACATTGGGTTGTATGTCTTTATCTTATGTTTTTCTGTGTTGTAATTTTGTTTTGAACCCTAGGTATCACATTTAGAAGAACAATAACATTGAAGCCCAGAAAGAGTAAAGCCTCTCCTGTAAGGTCATTAGGGTAGGGGGTTGAGAGAGTCTAAGACGCCCCTGGTTTTGATTTTGCTGTGTTGTGGCTGCCTTCACTGAGTCAGTGGCATCCACATCTCCAGTTGCTCCTTTGTGGCTCAAGTGTGGCCTGGAGTGGCAGGGACGGTCTCTCTGTGTCTGCCGCACCCTCAGCTTTCAGCAGACCCTGCACGTTTGTGTCATGAGGTGTCTTCCCACACCCTCCGTGCCTCTCTCCACAGTGGTGGAGGGCTGTTGCCTGCTCCTCCCGGAGAGGCTCGTGATGGGTAATGGAGGTTCTCGTCTCCCTCCACAGCCTGACTCTCAGGCAGAACTGTGCATGTGGACCTCAGCCTGCAGCCTGCAGTTGCCCAGGGCTCCTGCCCCCCTTCTTCCCTAGGCACCCACACTCTTCCAGGTTGGAGAGCGGTTCCTTCCTGTCTCCAGCGGGTGGGCGTCTCCTCCATCGTTGCAGGATTCTGTGTCAGCCGGTTCCCTGCCTCACGCCCGGGGGCAGGTGGCCTTTGATTCCGCTCATCCTCGCAGGGGCGCACGCGGCCAGGCCTGGGGGCTAAGGGCTTCACTCCCTGCCCTCCCCGGACAGACGGCTTCTGCTTGTTCTCTGTGCAAGACTTACTGCGCAGGCAGGAACTCCTCCCGCTCCTTCAGGGACAGAGGTTTCTGCCCACCTCTCCCTCGGCCACAGCAGCTTAAGGCTTTTGCTTCACTCGAGTATTCGAGAAGCAGGCTGGGTTTCCTGCAGGCGCTGCTGAGCCCGCGGGGGTGGCTCTTTCGGGTCCGCTGCTGTGGCATCTTTCTCGTGTGCCACCGACTGGCGGGCGCCCGGGGGCAGGGCTGGGGGCTCCAGGGCCTCTGACCTGTCCTCCCAGTCACACACAGTACATAAAAGTTTGTTGAGATGCTGTGTCTCTCTCTAAAAATAAAATTAAATTAAAAAAATTTTTTTTTAAAGTTTGTTGAAAATTATAGCTGTTTTCTTCTCACTCATTGTTATGGTGGCTGTCTCTTCTCCCTGAACTCTGCCACAGACGGGACAGTGTGTGTCTGTCCTTCCACGGGGGGCTTGTCACTCACTGGAATGTAGCTCCCCTGGCTGCGTACAACCTCGTGTCTCGGATAGGCTCAAGAACATTTGTGATTTTTAAATAATGTAATTTTTTTTTTCCTCCTTGTTAGGGTGGAGGCTATAGTCATCTTGGGCTTCTATATCCTAAGTAGAAGCAGACCTTCCTTTTTCCTTTTTAACATGGTTAAGACCATATCTTTTAAATTTTTATTTATTTATTTTATTTTTAATAGGTTTTAGAGAGAGAGGAAGGATGAGGAGGGGGGACATCAATGTGAGAGAGAAACATCAACCGGCTGCCTCCCACATGCACCCCAACCGGGGGTCAAACCCGCACCCTGGCTATGTGCTCTGATCTGGAATCGAACCCACCGCCTTTTGGTGTACGGAAAGATACGCCAACCAGCCGAGCCACACTGGCAGGGCAAGACCAAACCTTTTTATAAGCTCTTTCTTTGCATAAATTGTAATCAGTATATTCAAGTGCTTATTTTACACCCTTTCTTATACCTAGGACACTTTTGACCACTTGTTAGTTTTCTTTTTTTTTAATTTTGTTTTTTTCTTTATTGATATATTAGAGAGACAGAGGAAGGGAGAGGGAGAGACCGAAACATTGATGAGCGAGATCATCGACTGGCCACCTCCTGCACGCCCCCCACTGGGGACCGGGCCCACAACCTGGACATGTGCCCTGACCGGGAATCGAACCGACGACCTCTGGGTGCGGGGTCGATGCTCAACCACTGAGCCGCGCCAGCCGGGCCCACTGGCTGGTTTTCATAAACACTCGTCTCATGAGCAGTGTGTCGTCGTCGCCCGCGAGCTGTCACGGTGGGGGTTCAGGTCTGTGCCGCCCTCGGGGCTCAGGTCGCCCCACGGTGGCCGGGAGGAGTGAGGCTCACGTTTCGAAGTTACCTACCAGGTCTTCAGCGGTTCGTTTTCGGAAGTCACTTCTAACTCGAGGGTGTTTCTCAACATCACTTCAATTTTTAGTTTGCACATAATTTTTATATCAGAACTTTGGTCGCAAGTGACAGACACCCAACTCCCACAAGACCGTCGTTGTTTATTATAAGAATCGGGGGTGTCTCGTGACCCCTGAAGGTAACGCGTCAGGCTTCGGGGGGACCTGGAAGCAAAGGCTGAAGGCGCCGAGGGCTCCAGCTCCCGACTGGCCCTCACTGGCGCCCGCCACCGCCCCCTCTCTGCAGCCAGGCCTCCCGGGCTCTGTGGTGTCCACTGCGAACATCTCCGTCGACAGCTCCCCTCTGACCTCTCCCCAAACCAGCAGAAGCGGGTCACTGTGTCCCCAGTCCATAAGTTCCTCAGGAGAACTCTGATGAATCCCACTCGGATACCGATGGGTCAGGGTGACCAGGGTGTCCACTCCTGAGCCAGCTGTGTCAGCGGAGGGACCGAGACCGCTCCGGGTTGGCAGGCAGTCATGCTGTGCACTGAGCCATCTCAGGTACAGCCGGTTGGACTCGGGGGTGGTGGGAGCTTGAGGGGATCAGCAGGTAGAAGTGAGGCTCTAATACAGTTTTCCTAGACTAGGTTATTAACATGAGGAATCTTGAAAAGCAAATTTAACACTTGAATGTAAATGGAATACGAGCCTATGTCCTGGTCTGGAAAAGATCAGTGTGGATTGTTACAACAGATCAGGCCTTACTGTGCCTGGACTCTTGTCACGGTCTGGCTCTTTTTCAGTTTACATTGACAATAAACACAAAACTTATTGGCTTATTGGGGCTCAGTTATTACCACATTTAGCTATTTAATAAACATTTTTTTATTTTTCCTTTATTGATTTTAGAGAGAGAGGAAGGGAGAGGGTGTGAGAGAGAGAGAAAGAGAGAAACATTGATGAGAGAGAACATCAATCGCCGCCTCCCACACGCCCCCCCACTGGGGATCGGGCCCACAACCTGGGCATGTGCCCTGACCGGGAATCAAACTGACGACTTCTTGGTGCAGGGTCGACACTCAACCACTGAGCCACACTGGCTGGACAATAAACATTTTTTAAAAGTTAGTTATTTTATGCATATTTCCCCCTAAATTGAATAGATTTATTTAGAAGACTTAAAAAGACATACTTGCTTGATTCAGGGTTCTTGTTAGGGTAACTCCTGCATTTGAATTGCGTCTCACCCTGTGAGAGTTTTTCTTATGCGCTGCAGTTTCATTATAGAAAGTGATTGAGAACCCTCTTTATGAGCCGTGCCGCTGGAAAGACCTAGACAGTGACTTTTGGGCATGATCGTCGCACACCTTTCGCTGGGGTTGAACCTCCATAAACTGAATTATGGAGTACTTACAGGCACACATTTTTCCTGTCAAGAACTATGGGCATGTAAAATGCATTTCTGATTGATAGTAGGGCACACAGAGTTTAAAACCCACATTTTAAAAGTTAGACTGGTTAACCTTGTACAATACTATAACATAGCGCTTTGGAATTAGAAGCTCAGAGCAGTAACATTTGCTGCCAAAAGAGCCATATTTATTAACTCACTGAAGCTATCAGGAGAAGGGTTGGAGAGGCGGAACACTGTATTTCATCTTGAGAATGATTTTTATCTTCATCATCAGAGGTCTCAAAAACCACTTTCCTTTTTTCTTTTCTTTTTTTTACTGGACATGCTAATCAATCCTATAAAAACTGAAAGGTTATGAATTTTTTATCACCACATTGTGGCTTTCAAGTTCACTGTAAATATTTATAAATCCCCTCTTCCCAATACATATAAAAGTAGAAGAATTGAAGACAATATCCTTTTGACTTGTCTTTTTTTTCCTTTCTTCTTTTAATGCCTAAGAGTTTGCAAAACATCGTTTCATTGTGCATCTCAAAGTAGGGGGGAGGAGAAAAGTATGTGTCTCAAACTGTAGGTAGCATTGGGAGTGGGTAAACATTTCTAATCCACTGTGGCTAGAAATAAGGACTTTGAATGTTATCAGCTTTGTAGAATTTATAAAAACACAAACAATAGGCAATTTAAATTTAGCCTCATCTCATCCCAAGCCTTTGAATCTGAGGAAAAGCTGAGAGATGCTAGACTGTTCCGTGAATAAAAGATGTTTCATCTGACAAGAAGGGTAGAACAAGGTGTGTTCCCTTGGGCTTACTTTCCGTGCTGCCGTCTCTCTTTAAGAATTTCTTTCATTTGCGGATTGAAAAGCTGATTGTCACATCTAGTGTTTATGAAGACACAAAGCCGTACCAGCCGAGCGGGTAGTGTTAGCGACCATTGTGTGCCCTTCAGAGTACCCATGTGACTGTCGCTGGTTGGCTCGCAGTCCCGAAAGTGAAGAGAAGGAACACACGTCTGATACCCGGTCTACTTTCTGCCACTCACAGATGGCTTTGATTTCGTTCCAGGATTCATTTTGGAATGAAAGGCTCCATCTCGATTAATCCACTTGAGTCTCAGAACAAGAGTGGAGTTTCTCCTGTGTTGGAGTTGCAGCTCAGCAAGGATTTGATTCGTTTCTTTGACTCATCGGTAGAACTCAGGTGAAAACTGAAATAAAAGCCCTTCAGCTACACGATTCTTTGGGTTGGGTCATAGTTTGGTTCGGGGTGTCACATGTGGACATAAAGAAATAAATGAAATTGTTTAAAGACTGGCTTATAATTGATAAAACTTCATTTTAAAAGAGCCTTAAAATAATATTATAGTTTGTTAGGGTCTTCCTTGCTCGGCTGTGGAATTCTTATATCCTGATTGACAGGAAGTGTTGATATTCGATGAAAGCTTCTTTTACATGACACTCGGTGACGTTGCAACCATATTTGTGATCAGTGTGTGTCTCGTGTTCCTTCCCATAGAAACTCAGCGGAAAGCCAACAGAGAATAAGAATGATGGAAGAACTGGATGTATGTTCACCTAAATTTAGTGTCTCCCGAGCAGAAAGGGCAGTGGAGAGGCAGCAGGGACGGATGCTCTGTGATGTGTTAATGGACCAGAGAGTACTGCCCGGGGTCGGCAACATCATCAAAAACGAGGCTCTCTTTGACAGTGGTCTCCACCCAGCTGTTAAAGTAGGTTAGACGTGTTTTTAAAATGATGCCTATATTTTTAAACCCTGTTAAGGGGCCGACACAGCACACTGGAATCTGTGATGTGGTGACATGCTCCCCAAACAGATCTCAGGAGTCTTAGCTCACATCAACCTCTCTGAGGCCAACCCTGACCACACTATTTAACATCGATGCCATATCCTCTCCCAAATTACATTCTCTGCCTTCCGTAATTATCTCCTTCATACCACTGATCACTTTCAAACATCATGTAATCTTTACTTGTTATCGTCACCGTTTAAAATCAATCTCTGCTGGAACGCAGGCTCAGAGAAGGAAGGTGTGTCTGTTCATTGGTGATGTGTCCACGCCTGTAGGATACACTGTCGGGCGCATGGTTGGGATTGAAAAAATCTTTGTTGACTGTATGAATGAACTCAGCTCACAACTTTCTTCTTGTTTCTGGCATATGAAATTCACACTCAACACATTCCAGGAATCCTATTTATTAGAAAAGGCAGTTTCCACCCGGCTGGTGTGGCTCACTGGTTGAGCGTCGACCCTGCACCAAGAGGTCGCTGGTTCGATTCCCAGTCAGGGCACATGCCCAGGTTGTGGGCCTGATCCCCAGTGGGGGGCATGCAGGAGGCAGCCAATCGATGTTTCTGTTTCTCTCTCCCTCTCTCTAAAATCAATAAAGAAAAAAAAATTGAAAAAGAAAAGGCAGTTTCTGTGGAATGATAAGAACAGGAGTAAGTAATGAGTGATTAGTGAATGTTTGGAAACAAAAGTCGAAACACTTGTTAAAACAGCTCCATTTGGAGTGAAGGGGAAATACTAGACTTCTAGAGGAAGGTGTCAGGACAGGGACTGGGTTTGTTTTCCTCGTTCTTCAGCTGGAGAGACATGAACTCATATGTTGAGAGAGAAATTCTGGTAGAGGGAGAGGGTAAAGCTGTAGAGAAGAGGGTGGTGAGTAGCAGGAGAGTTGTGGGGAGGGCGGAGAGGTTAGAACTGAAGCCAAGTGGAGGGAGACATATATTTTAGTTTCCAGGCAATAAATCTTCAGTAGGCCTTCCATTCTGACCCAAGTAGTCTCTATTACTAAGTCTTTATTTTACTTTTTTACATGAATCCAAATATACCTTTTTATTTTGTGTAATTATTTCTTGGACAGTTTTCATAAAATCCAAATCAGGAGGAAATAAAATTTATGTATTTATTTTTTTATTTCTTTCACCCTTACTCAAGGACATTTTTCCATTTTTTGTTCAGATAGAGTGGGAGGGAGAGAGAGGAATTGAGAGAGAGAGAAACATCGACGTGAAAGGGACACATCGAGTGGCTGCCACCCGCACGACCCAACCAGGGCCAGGGGCAGACTGCAACCGAAGTACGTGCCCTTAGCGGGAACCAAACCCGGGTCTCTCTGGACCACAGGCCAACGCTCTAACCACTGAGCAAAACCAGTCAGGGCAGGAAGAAATAAGTTTTAAAAGAAACCAGTTAATAATAGTTCTAGATTACGTTCTGCCTTTTTTTTTAATCCTCACCTGAGGACATTTTCATTGATTTTTAGAGAGAGGGGATGGGAGAGACAGAAAAAGAGAAACATCGATGTGAGAGAGAAACATAGATCGGTTGCCTCCTGCACATGCCCCAATCCGGGGATCAAACCCGAAACCTAGGCACGTGCCCTGATCAGGAACCGAACCCATGGCCTGCCGGTGTTCGGGCTGACACTCCTACCAACTGAGCCACACCAGCCAAGGAGATTCTACTTTTTAACACTTGAAACAAACTAGTCGAATTTCTGTGACATGGGAGTAATGACGGAATCTTAACAGCAGGCTTTTAAAATCATCTAGATCTCTATGGGAAATGTTTTTGAAGGGAAAAAAAAAGGAACCCAGGATATTGTTACCTAGAGTATCATTATTATCTGTGATAAACTGATACATCATTTTTTATCTGTACATCCAGCCAGCTGTTCATCTAGTAAAAGATCATTTGCCCATAATGTCTGAGGGTTTAAAAAGTAATGCTATTTCTGAAGCTTAGCTATTAGCCCCCTCAAAGCACATGCTTAATTATTGAAAAAGTAGTTTAACGTTTCTGGGTGTAACGGAATATAGTATATAAGACACAGTAAGAAAAACATGAGTTTTAGCAGTTGCATACATGTTAAAATTTAAGTAGATAATTGAAAATGTATAAAATATTTTTAGAATGATTTTGTTGATGAGATGACTTGAGAGTTCACAGTCATTGATAAATTAATTTCCAAATTGCATATAGAGGTAGATATATTTATATACGTACCACAAGGGTAAGTCATCAGATAGAATTTCTTCCAAAATTACCATGGAAACCACATGTGCTAAGTGATGGTTAATTCTGCGAGGGTAGCACAGATCTATGCCGGGCTGGTCACAAGGAAATTCTGCAGCAAGGTCTGTTTCTGCATTCGTCCATGTTGACAAGCACTTTGATATTAATGCTCGGATATAAATTCATGTAGTTTTAAAGCTTAATTGTGACCTTGATGGTCATCTACTCCTGTGCCTATTTTTTCCTCCTTTCCTTCAATTTTTTTTTTATTTCTGTCTCTTTTCTTTCCTTTTTCTCTATTTTTTCTTTCTGAAAACCCAGCAAGACTTTTTAAGGTGGCTGACAGTCAGTGTTGGGACTTTGATGATGTCTTATACAGAAGAGATGTTCAATGAACACTTGACTTTAGAGTTAAAATTTATAAATAAGAATTTTTTATGTGTAGTAATATCACTTAAAAACAAAACCACTGTGAGTGACACTAAATCGTAGGAGAACTAGAGCTCTAGAAGATGTATGCATTTTAAATCTATTTACAGTTCTTAGAACTGGTATTTTTCTATGATGAACAAATTATGAAATGATCCTCCATCGTTTTGCTCTTTTCAGGCTTGTCAGTTGACAGAGGAACAAACCCATCACCTAGTGAAAATGATACGTGATTTCAGCCTTCTTTTCTACAGGGTAAGAGTGAATATTTTTCCATTATGTACACTGTCAATTGTTTCCCTTTGGATTATACCAAAAATGTTAAAGCTGTGTATAGCCATCTAGTGGTGAGAGTGTGGAAGTACAATACCAGAGAGTGCCGTGTTTTGGGCCTAATTTAACATCTTGAAATTTTAGGTTACAGGTCAGTCCAAACTTGTCTAACTATAATTACATCAAAGTATCTTTATACTAAGTTTGGGAATATCTATGTTAGCATTTGATTTGAACATCATATAAAAGTAAAACATAGGAAGCCTAGAGAGAGAGAGACTTAATTTTTTTTAAATAGACTTCAGATCAATCAGATTTTGCCACTGTTATCTGTGTGGTTGAGATATTTGGATACCTCTAAGTTTAGTTTCTTCATCTGTAAATTGGGACAGTATTTACCTACCACAAAGACTGTTTTGAGAATGAAATAAATACTTGCTAAAGTATAAATTTTGCAAGTTACAGCTATGCATACAGACATATATATGTATATAGAGAGTTCAATAAATGCATTTCATCTTTTAAACATGCCCTGGCCAGTTTGACTTAGCAGTTAGAGTGTCGGCCCATGGACCAATGAGTCGCAGGTCAATTCTGGCCAAGAGCACGTACCTTGGTTGCGGATTGTCGCTGGCCCTGGTCAGGTCGTGCAGTAGGCAACCAGTCAATGTGTCTCTGTCATGTCAATGTTTCTCTCTCTCTCCCTCCCATTCTATCTGAAGATAAGTAGAAAAATATCCTCGTGTAAGGATTTAAAAAAAAAAAAGGTATCACACATTTTCTCTCTGCAGTCCATTCGCTGTATTCAGAACGTTTATTTTCACTTGTTCAGAAAGGCAGGAGTTGTGGAATTCTTCATTAACTGGCCCAAAGCACTAATGGACCTTTTGCCTCACATACCCGCCTTGAGTACCTGCGGCTACTCTAATGTTACACGTGCACACTTAGTCTTCCAAGGAAAGATAATCACAGACAACACCCGTTTTCTGCCCAGCTTCAGTAGGATATTTCAATACTGTGCCTAAATTAATGTAAGCTGTGTGTGTAATTTTCAGCGTTTACATGGTGAGCCACATTTCTGAGCTTTTAAAATTCCACACTGCTGATGTAAACCCAAAATATTCTTTTTGTCCGAGTTTTAAATGCATGTGAGCAGAATAAAAAGTGACAGAGAATAGCAAATGTCCTTTGAAATAAAACTTATACCAGAATGGAACGTGTTCTTTGCTAGGATGGCATTTGAATTTTTATTTTCTTTTCCAGTGAATCTGGAAGATTACAAACTAAAAACTCTCCTTTGTCAGGTCAACAAAGAAGGTGATCTGGTTACATTTTCTATTGGCTGTTGGAACAAAGTGGACAGCTTCCGTGTTCCAAAAATGATCAGATTTAACGCTAATCTACTTTTAACTACATAATTATGTTTAATTTTTTTAAAAAACCTTAAAACCATGAAAGCCATGTTAAATTACAGAACTGTTATATCCCATTTAGATAAGAGGGTAAATCTATTCAAAGAATAGTTTTGAATACTAATAAGTAATAAAATAATGACTTAATTATTTCACACAAATCTTACCTGACAGATACTGCTGAATCTGTCAGCACCTTTTTCTCGGATGAAAGGAAAAGATTATACAGACACACATATAAACATGTGTGAATGCATAAGAATTATTTTCAGAAATGACTTTCAAGAATTTATCTTTGGCTGCTCGCAACGCCGCTGTATAGATCCCATTCTGATGTTGTTTGTTTGTTTGTTCCTAGTGCCGTAAAGCAGGGCTGGCTCTCTCTCAACACTATAAGGTTTACAAGCGTCCTTACTGCGGTCACTGTGGCTGCAAAGTAACAGTGTGTCGCTTGGGGGAGAATAACAGGATGACGTACTTCTGCCCCCGCTGTCAGGAGGCAGATCCGCGGCGTGTTGACATAAGGTGAGAGGTCTCATTTTCGGGTCTACTCTTCGCCCCAGTTCTGTAAAAGGGCCATCACTGAGAGAACACACGGGACGAGCTATCGGGATATCAAGAAGAACACATAACTCAGAAGTATTTGAACCTTGGAAGTAAATGACATCATCCAACAACCAGAATGAGGCAGAGGTGGTTTTCGGACCACTTCTCAGTTCAGCGGAAACTTCCTAGCTCAGATGTTAAGATCCAGCCTTTGGCTTTAATCTTGTTTATAAAGTGATTAAGAGAGACAGATAGATATGTCAGTAACCAGAAAAATGTAACTAACTGCGGAAGTTCTTGCTTTATTTAGAAATAGCCTTATAAAACATGAATAAGATCTCATTACAAAGCGAATGTCTTGGTGAAACAGCCACTACTTCATCAAACACCTGCGTGGGGATTGCCGGTAGCTGAATGAGTCTGTTCCAGCTATGCTTTTGAGAACAGGGGAAATGTCCACAGGCTGGGTTCAGGGACCCGCTGGACCCACCGTGGGAGGAACGTGACCTAAAACTCCCTGGATCACCTGACCTGCACAGCCCCTCTGACCGGGGGCCACAGTGATGTCGGTTCACAATCCATCTGGGTGTCTGTACACACTCACCTGGCGGACACCGCGGGTCCCTGGGGAGGAAGGGAGAAGGCGAGTGGACAGCCGGGGGCCTGTGGTGACTGTACACACTCACCTGGTGGACACCGCGGGTCCCTGGGGAGGAAGGGAGAAGGCGAGTGGACAGCCGGGGGTGCGTGGTCACTGTACACACTCACCTGGTGGACACCGCGGGTCCCTGGGGAGGAAGGGAGAAGGCGAGTGGACAGCCGGGGGCCTGCGGTGACTGTACACACTCACCTGGTGGACACCGCGGGTCCCTGGGGAGGAAGGGAGAAGGCGAGTGGACAGCCGGGGGCCTGCGGTGACTGTACACACTCACCTGGTGGACACCGCGGGTCCCTGGGGAGGAAGGGAGAAGGCGAGTGGACAGCCGGGGGCCTGCGGTGTCTGTACACACTCACCTGGTGGACACCGCGGGTCCCTGGGGAGGAAGGGAGAAGGCGAGTAGACAGCCGGGGGCCTGCGGTGACTGTACACACTCACCTGGTGGACACCGCGGGTCCCTGGGGAGGAAGGGAGAAGGCGAGTGGACAGCCGGGGGCCTGCGGTGACTGTACACACTCACCTGGTGGACACCGCGGGTCCCTGGGGAGGAAGGGAGAAGGCGAGTAGACAGCCGGGGGCCTGCGGTGACTGTACACACTCACCTGGTGGACACCGCGGGTCCCTGGGGAGGAAGGGAGAAGGCGAGTGGACAGCCGGGGGCGCGTGGTCACTGTACACACTCACCTGGTGGACACGGAGGGTCCCTGGGGAGGAAGGGAGAAGGCGAGTGGACAGCCGGGGGCCTGCGGTGACTGTACACACTCACCTGGTGGACACCGCGGGTCCCTGGGGAGGAAGGGAGAAGGCGAGTAGACAGCCGGGGGCCTGCGGTGACTGTACACACTCACCTGGTGGACACCGCGGGTCCCTGGGGAGGAAGGGAGAAGGCGAGTGGACAGCCGGGGGCCTGCGGTGACTGTACACACTCACCTGGTGGACACCGCGGGTCCCTGGGGAGGAAGGGAGAAGGCGAGTGGACAGCCGGGGGCCTGCGGTGACTGTACACACTCACCTGGTGGACACCGCGGGTCCCTGGGGAGGAAGGGAGAAGGCGAGTGGACAGCCGGGGGCCTGTGGTGTCTGTACACACTCACCTGGTGGACACCGCGGGTCCCTGGGGAGGAAGGGAGAAGGCGAGTGGACAGCCGGGGGCGCGTGGTCACTGTCCCCACGCAAAGCCAGTGCTGCCAGAGCAGAGGGCTGTCAGAGGTCGGCGTGGACTCCCAAGTTGGGAAGACCTCATAGAAAAAGTGTCACTTGAAGCTTACTTGAAGAAGAGAGTTAGAATTCTGGTTAAGGCGAAGACTGATGTTGGTTATGCATCAGGAATACGCGTGGCATGTTGGGGGATGAAGACGACCCGCGCCGAGCCGATCGAAGGCGTGACCCGTGGCACAGACAGAGCGGGGTTACGGGCGGGGCATCCAGCAGGAGGACTCGGCGGTAGCACCTGCGTCCATGGGCGGGAGTCCCGTGGCCGGGAGTCCCGTGGCCGTCGCACAGCTAAGGTGGGGAACGAAGAGGGACACACCCCTGAGGAAGCTAGTGCAGTGTACCTGATGGATGGGAGGTGGGTACCGGTCCTGAGGGCGAGGCGCCGGAGTGGAGAAGAGAAGAGGCCCCTGCATGTTACCGTGAAAACGACAAGAATTCTGACAGATCCGATCGATAGGGGATGCCCAAAGTTTCAGACCCAAATCAGAGAGAGCAATTTCACATTATGGGCCTGGGGAAGTTGAGATAGAGTGGGAAAGACAGATTGAGCTTTGGAAATGTGATGTAACAGAGGAGTATCCTCTTTTTTATTATGATTATTTTTTTTAATCTTCACCCGAGGAGGTTTTTTCGAGTTTTGTTCAGATAGAGTGGGAAGGAGAGAGAGGGAGAAACATCGATGTGAGAGAGACACGTCGACTGGTTGCCTCCCACAGGACCCCAACCAGGGCCAGGGACCAACCCTTGACTGGAATCGAACCCAAGACTCTTTGGTCTGTGGGCCGACGCTCTAACTGCTGAACACAACCGGCCAGGGCAAGTGTCTCCTAATAGAATAATGTTTACAGGTTCCAGGGTCCTGGCCTGGCACCTCTGGGAGGCCACATTCAGGCCGCTGCAGGCATGTCACGTTTGAAATTCCTCTTCCCCATCCAGGGCCAGATCGGAAAGAACTGATCTGTAGGTGATTAAGAAATGGAGAAGTAAGGGGGGAAAGGCTTCCAACGCTCCTCTCTGGAACAATGAGTGTCCCTTGGTTAGGGAAATCTGTCGGGTAGAAGACGGGAATGTGAGACAGTGGAGCACACTGAACACGCGGCGTTTAATTGTATGTACTTCGTTATGAGTCTGCATCGTGCTGCCCCTCAGAGTGAGTGACAGGACAGCTGCTTAGCTCAGGTAAGCAGACCTGTGGGGAGTGCGGTTCCGTGGGAACGAGAGACGCTGAGCACCGTTCAGCAGCAAGGGAAGGAAAGATAGCAGGACCGTGATGACTGGAATCTCACTCTCAGATCTTCTGATGCTATTTATTACTTGACCAGACAAGCCTGGATTTTAAAACGGGTGTAGTTACATATAAGGAGCAAAATGTTATGCCCGGCCGGTGTGGCTCAGTGGTTGAGCGTCGACCCAGGCACCAAGAGGTCGCAGGTTCGATTCCCGGTCAGGGCACAGGCCCAGGTTGTGGGCCCGGTCCCCAGTGGGGGGCCTGCAGGAGGCGGCCAATCGATGTTCTTTCTCATCGATGTTTCTTTCTCTCTCTCCCTCTCCCTTCCTCTTTCTCTAAATTCAATAAAGAAAAAAAAAATTAATAAAAAAGAATGCCAAGTAGGGCATCAAGATTTACAGTTGTGGCCGGAAATCAGGGTAGGTTTTATTGTTTCCTTACTAACCCGTTAACTGGGTATTCAACATGAAGAGCGCTAACACGAGGATGGATGACCTCGTCACCCTTATAGACCAGCTCGTTGACACCATGCTTAGTGGAGACCACGGAGAGATTGTCGAGGCCCGGGAAGTAGACGTAAAACTTTCTCCTTGTATGTTCAGTGCTTCAATGTCCGGCGACTCTTCTCTCCCCTGATTTGTCTGAGTAAAGATGTTTTAGTTTTGCTTTGGGAAGAGAGCCGCTTAGTTAAAACATTAATTGAGAAATGCCTCTTAGTGCTTATGTCAAATAATTTAAGTTGGCTTTTAAAAAAGTAACACAACCACAGCTCTTTGACGTTGAATAAGACCTTTCGTGTGGTGTTTCTCTCTTGACCAGCAATCGGCAGGGCCCAAGTGAAAACATCTTCTTAAGATGGTTCGAACTGGGAGGAGATAATAAACGTGTAGCATTTGGGGACACCGATTGTTCTGTATTCGGTTCTGAAGTACCCGGAATGTACGCGAACAAGGCAATAGTGACGGCGTTAATGACTAACTGTAAAAATTCTGCGCAGCAAGCTGCCGGCTAGAAACAGCGCCGTCAGCGGGACGCCCCGTGGACGGGACCCCCTTCTGGACCCAGGGGCTGGGGACCGTGCCGAGCACTGGACCTGTGGGGTCTGCACGCTGGTGAACAAGCCTCCTTCTCGGGCGTGTGATGCCTGCCTGGCTGCAAGGCCTCCCGGTAAGACGGAATTGGGACATGGAATCCGTTCCTTTTCAGTTATGCCAAATCAGGGGCGTCCCTGGTGCTGGCCTGCCCTCTCCCAGCGAGGGGCACCACTGTCTCTGAGAGGGACCCCGGGCCCCACGACCATGCTGATGTTCCGAGCAGAGGGAGGGAGGCATGTTTGTGCTAAAAAAGCATGTGCCTTTGTATCTCAAGAAACTGACATGGTCACATCTGTTCCCCACTGTTCCTGATGAATTATTCAATAAAGCTTTGTATTATGCAGATTTCAGCAACTTCGGAGGCTGTTATTCAGTGCAAGTGTTTCATAATTTGAAAGGGAGGGTCTCTGTAAGAATATCTTTGCAGGTGGAATAGAAAAACGCTGATTTTTTTTTTCTCTTCTTTATCCTCCCTACCCCTTGTTATTAAAATCTTTACCCAGACAATTGTGCTGATTTCTTTGAAATCCTACAAAATAACTCTTTGTGGCTCACAATTTCACGCGTTCAGAGAATCGAAACTTCTGAGGAAACCTGTGATTAGGATCCCTGGCGTTGACGCGGCCTCTATTGTACTCCGGAGTGTTGCTTCTTTCTTCAATTAGAGGAGGAAGGGGTGTTGTTGACTTAGGCCCCGGCATGGTGGGAGCTGCCGGATGGTGGTGTGTTCTCTGGGCCAGAGGCCTGCTGCCCTCACCCGGAGCGGGAGGGACGGGCGCCCGTGTCTGTCCTGCCTCGTCGTGTCCTTCCACAGAGAGCCCCGAGGAACCAGCCCCGGGTTTCCTCGCGTATTTCAGCACTCTGCAATGCCTTTGCGTCTCGCTGTGTTCTTGCTATTTTTTTCCTGAGTATGATAGATCTATATCGTAACTGCGATTCAGAATATATCACAGCTCAGACTCCAGAACCCTAGGATGCTTCGTTGAAACATTTTGAGTAAATGTTAGATCTTTGGGTTCATCTTGTTGTGTTTTTTTTTTAATCCTCAGCCGAGGATATTTTCCCATTTATCTTCAGAGTGGGAGGGAGAGAGAGAAACATGGACAGGAGAGAGACACATCGATAGGTTGCCTCCTGCACAGCCCCCACCAGGGTCGGGATGAACTGCAACCAAGGCACGTGCCCTAGACCGGGATCGAACCCGCAGCTCTTTGGTCCGCAGGCCGACGCCCTAACCGCTGAGCCCAACCGGCCAGGGCTAATTCTTCTTGTTTTTAGTACGCCTTCCACTTGGTCTCGTCATTCACAGAAACATCCCGACCACCGGGCCACAGGCCCTACCTCTCGGTTAGCCTGCCTGCGCCCTGCACCATCAGAGCCAGTGCCCACACAGCAGGAGGGAAGCGAGTCTGGGACCCAGTGAGTCCCTCCCCCTGCGTCACCAACACCGCACCGCGCGTCCTTCCCGAGCCAGGAGACCACACGAACTGCCGAGCCCACGCTGTGTTATTAGTGCTGCGCGTGAGTTCACTGTAGTACGTGCACCGAATGTTTTAACCAAATGGAAAGGAGTTTCAAATACTTGGTAGTGTGTGTTGGGAGTACTGCAGAATCACCTGTCTCTCCTTCCAGATGCACAACTCAAGAATGGAGGAAATTCTGCTGCCTTCGGCAGCTTAGTGAAGTACCCCTGCAACAGCTTTGGGAAGCCAAGCTCACAAGTGAAGGTCAACAGGAAAACTGTGTTCGGAGCCACAACCCTCGTCCTGACTGACTTCAGCAATAAATCCAGTCCTCGGGAAAGAAAGAAAAGCCCAAACTGGATGCCAGGTGGGGCATCTCAGAACCCTGCTCCCACGGACGGCTGTCCCCGTGGTACACCTCACCCCTCCCCGGAGGGCGCGCGCAGTACAACCCAGCGACCCACGCTCTGCTCTCCATCTACACTGCTTGGTCCAGCACGCGAAACACCGACCCCAGCCCCGTGCTCATCACCGGGTCCCGGAAGTCACAGCCCTGGACGTCCTAAAAGGTACGATGCTTCTCACCTGGATCTTTAAGGCATTTGCATTAAGTTCCAAGAAGGGGGGAGTCGTCCGTGGAGAAGGGAGTTGAATTGGTTGTGGTCGCGGGAGTCCAGCGCTGAGAGACATGACAGTCGCGGTCTCCTTGCCTTCTCCAGCTTGTAACGCAAGAAGGGAAGGGATGAAAAACAGAATCTCCTCCGTCGTTACAGAGTTATTCTTTTCTGCCTGTGATCATATGCATGCTCAGTATAGGCTATTTGGGAAGAAAAGAGAAATGTTTAAATCACCCATAAGTTTACCTGGTTATCAATCACCCCTGTTCGCATTTTTTTGGTTGTGTTGTATTTCTGTCCAATGAGAGAGAGATTTTCTAAATGGGGGATGGGGGACTACCATTGATAACAGGTTAGTAAGTGTCTTCTATGCTAAAGAGAGGGATCTGAGATTTTTTTTTTTTTATTCTCATCCAAAGACATTTTTTGATAGAGCGGGAGGGAGAGAGGGGGAAAGAGAGAGAGAGAAACATCAATGCGAGAGAGACACGTCGACTGGTCGCCACCCACACGACCCCAACTGGGGCTGGGGACAAACTATAACTGAGGTACGTGCCCTTAGCAGGAACCGAACTGAACCCAGGACTCTGGTCTGTGGTCCGACACTCTGACCGCTGAGCCCAATTGGCCAGGGCGGGATCTGAGATTCTTTTAGCGACATTTCTGCTAGAGAAAGTGGCTGTATCTCAGTCAGCCATGGGATGGTGTTTTCTGTTTCAACCAAAAAGGCCGGAAGAGCAGGTGTGTCTGAAATGAAAGAGTTGTACTTCCAATTAGTAAATATGCCCAACCAGGTATGTTTTAGGAGAAGGCCCCAGTTGCTGTCGCCAAGATACAGAAATTTTGATGACAGTGTTGTCCCTTGTTCCTTAATGCTTGCTGGCAGCTGCTGACACTGTCCACGCTCCTTCCCCACCTTGTTTAGCCTTCACCTGGGCGTCCCTACCTTCCCCGCCTGCTGTTAGCCTCCGTCAGAGACACAGAGACACTCTCCACAACGTTCTTTTCCAAGCTGTTTGTTTGGGGGGAAGGGGTCCTTCAGAAAGGAGATGCTGTATATTCAGCACTGTTTTTATTGTTGACACTATTACAGATGTCCCCCATTTTCCCCTCTTTGCCCCTCCTCTCAGCCCCTACCCCCAACCACCAGCACAGCACTGTCCGTGTCCATGGCTAGGCATAGATGCACGTATGTTCTGTGGTTAATCTTTTCCTGTCCCCTCCACCCTGCCCGCCCCGAGATCTGTCAGCCTGGTCCCTGCGTCCCTGCCTCTGCAGTGTGTCGGTTTGTTTTGTTCATTAGATTCCCAATGAAGTGAAGGGGAACAGTCTTCCTTCCACGCCTCCTGTCTTCCACAGGGAGACGAGCAGAGAGTTGGCGTGGATGGGATCTGAAGCAAGCTCGGGGGTTCTGGTTCTAGTGTCTGCTGAGCTGTGCCTGGGGGGATGGCACAGGTTCTTCCTCTGGGCAGCGGGATAAGGGGCCACGTGGTGTACACTCCTAGACTGACCTCTGGGAATCCTTAAAGCTGAACAGATTTCTGAGACTGTTGTGGCCAATAGATGCTTCTATCTCAACTCTCAATTGACCATCAGTTAATCGTGATGATTTATCCTTGGCTGATTTTTAAAAAAAATGTTTGTCTATAATCGTCTATAGTAACTGGCTTAACTTTTGTTCATAATACTCTCAAGTGACAGAAGTAAAGTATGGGGGACAGACGGACTGCATCAGTATGCCACCTTCTCATTCCGACCCTCAGCGATGGCTCCTGACGGAAGTGCTGAAGGAGCCGGTTTAGATCTGGGGCGGGAGCAGTTCTGTAAGAAAACCACTGCTGAGCCACCTTTTCTGTTCTGCAGCTGAAGTGGGAGCAGTAGATGCGATCATTTAAAAAACATCGTGGCATTCGCTCTACCCGGATGAAATATCTTGGCACATTTTTATTTCCTCCGTGCTTTGTAGCAAATCTCAGACAATTTAACTAATGAATTATGGATTTAAAAAACCATTAACGGAAACTTAGATTTAAATCGTTTCTTCATAAGCCATTAGTAACAGGGCCCATGGTTGGCACAGCACACAGCCCTCCTCAGAGATGCTGTGCATGTGCGTGTGCGGGGTGGAGAGCCCAGCATGGGGCCGCTAGCACCAGTCAAGATCCACTAGCGAAAGAAATGTCCGGTGACGAAATGCATCTACCCAGCAGCCCCTCTGCACCCAGCTAAGTCACCAGGAATAAATGACAGAGTGCGGTCATTGGTTTCATTCTCCCCCTTGTCTGCAGCCACAGTGATCAAGATGCCCCTAGGAGCTCATCACCACATAGTACGACTAAAGCAGGTGGTCCACTCAGAGAATTCATAGCCAGTTTCGTGTCTCTTTAATAATTGTATGGTAATCAATTCGCCTTTTGTTCTCTTAATTACTGATCTCATCAACACATGAGGAGGCATATTTTCGGATTGGTCTTTCGATGTCCTTGAATGTTACCCAGCGACAGGATTCTAAATTAGGCAGTTGAACCAATTTGTAAGCCGTTAAGAATAACTGCTAGATACAGTTTTCAGTCTTTATTCATTTATTATAAATACAGAGCAAAGCACAGTGATGTTTCCCCAAGAGCCACGTGTGTTCAGGTGAGCTTTCTCCCGGGCTGACGCAAAGGCTCACGTGAGAAATGCCGCAAAGGGCATTTCTGACGGTTTTCCGGCTGCCCGCAGGGTTGCCAGAATCCCAGCCCTGCCGCCAGGGAGCACGGGCCCTTTCCACCTGCTTCCGGTCGCCCGTTAGAATTTTCCGCCCCCAAGCATTTCAGGACCGCCTGGGTCCACCCAGGGGGAGTCATTTAACCTCTGTTTGTGTGTTTAAATCTTGAAATACCACTGAACTATAAAATCTACATTCCGTGAGACTGATTTATTCAAACAAAATTTAGACAATGTAACATCAGTTAAACCATGGTAAGTTGATCACTGAAAAAAATAATATCCATTTTTAAATTGCAAACCCGTGCTTGAGATGATCTCTGTTTAATGTGACTTGTTTCTGTATTGATTAATAAGTACTGAGGATCTGTTCTGCATCACGCATCGCTCTGGGTTCTCATGACCTCTCTCCAGGCAAACGGCAGCGGGGCCAAAGCCAGCCCACCACCTCTTCTTGTAAATCAAGTTTTATTGGACACATCCCATTCCCCTTGGCTGCCATGATTTTTATGGCTGCTTTTCCTGCTACAGCAGCAGAGTTGTGTAGTTGCACCAGAAACCATAAGACCCACAAACCTAAAATATGTGTTATCTGAACAGATTGGCCACCCCTGATCCATTATGTTAATAGACCACCTACAATCCAGTATTCACGCTTAAGATGATGGCCCTAGTTGTCAAAATAAGAGTTTACCTAAGTAAATGCTCTGCGACAGTTTAGGACTTTAAAAAATAATGACTGAAACAAAGAGGGACCAAGATGTCCTCTGTTAATCAGAACATTTATATATCTTGGATAATGTTTTCTATCATAAACTTAAGATGGGCTGTGCATGCTCAGAGCTGATGTGATCACAGGTGGCCTCAGTATCTCGGTTACATTAACTCAGTTCAGTGCAACTTTATGTGCCTGTGAATTACCTGGGAATCATGTTCACATGCGATTCTAATTCTGCCAGGGACCTAGGGTAGGGCTGATAATTCTGCATGTCTGAGGAGCTCCGTCCTGTCGCTGGTGCCTCTGGTCAGTGGCCCACACTCTGAGTACCGGGACAGGTAGCATTCGGCTTTGTCTCTTCAACTTTATACAGAGGAGGAAACGGATACGGAAGTGACCCACCGACCGGAGATGTCAGGCCTTTCCTCTCGCCTCCAGCCTCCCTCCCACCTGCCCCGCCCCCAAGAGCTTTCCCAGTAGGAGAATCCCAGCCTCCCCTGGACTCTCCCTGGGCATGTGGACCCCTGGAGGTTTCCAGGTTGGAGCAAATGGATTCGAAAAGGTTTAAATAATTATCTCAGCGACTTCAGAATAACATATACAGCCAATTTTGCATGTGTCCATTTTTTTAATGAGAACAGCATTTTATTCCTTTCTGTTCATATTTTTAACCTCTTTTTTCCTCCTTTAAAAAAATGTAAAAGCACAGTTGAGGACCCACTTTCTCCAGTTGAAATCTCTTGATTTCTCTACAACCATGCAGGTGTTTAGCGTCTCTTAAAGTTTTCATATGGCCTCTTTTGGGGGTGGGGGGACACGGAGGAGGTTGTAGGAAGGCAGAGCCTGTTGCACCTCAGCTTCCCTGTTCCTGGTTGGTATCACCCCTGATTCTAAAATATGAGCCACCACCCCCCACCCTGAGAAACTTGCTAACACAATAGTTGTGGGCAAAATCGCTCCGTCACCATTTCCTGGGCGATGCAGAGGCCTGCTCTCACCGTACCAAAGGCAACCCCCGCAGAACTTGGGCGTCCCGCAGGTACCTGTGGTCCTGATCCCGGGGAGAGCAGGGTTCCCCACCGCTTCCCAGCAGGCTGGGTCCCGCTCCCTGCCCAGCACACCTGCAACCGTTGCAGCGCCCCCGCCAGACAGTGGTCCGGAAGCGCACAGAGGACGGAGCCACTCGGTGATGAGTCAGAGCCCTTGCTGAGTTCACCGCCAGCGAGGAAACAGTTCTGAAGGCTGTCTGGTCACGTGGCAGGGTGCAGGGGCGGCAGGACTGGAAATCCGAGGCCACACCACTGTTTCAGTGGACATAAGAGAGGCCACACCACTGTTTCAGTGGACATAAGAGAGGCCACACCACTGTTTCAGCAGACATAAGAGAGGCCACACCACTGTTTTAGTGGACCTAAGAGAGGCCACACCACTGTGTTAATGGACATAAGAGAGGCCACACCACTGTTTCGGCGGAAATAAGAGAGGCCACACCACTGTTTTAGTGGACATAAGAGAGGCCACACCACTGTGTTGGCGGACCTAAGAGAGGCCACACCACTGTGTTGGCGGACATAAGAGAGGCCACACCACTGTTTTAGTGGACATAAGAGAGGCCACACCACTGTTTTAGTGGACATAAGAGAGGCCACACCACTGTGTTGGCGGACATGAGAGAGGCCACACCACTGTGTTGGCGGACATAAGAGAGGCCACACCACTGTTGGGTAAGAACACTAACCGTGAGGCTAGATTGCACACCCCGTTCAGCTGTGTTTTCCTCCTTCACCAACTTAAAGGACACACGTTAGGCGCACAGATCGCTTTGGAAGTCAACGAGACCTGCCCCGGCCAAGCAAGAATGAAGGCGCAGCGGTTCGTGTCATTACCTAGAGTTGACCACGGCCCACTTCGGGGCACGATTGGATGTACGGGCGGGCGGGACTCCACCTGGGCAGGAGCTGAGAGCATCCCCTGACATCCGTGCTGTGGTTGAGGGTCCCCTGTCGTTGCAGGGAGCTGCGGGTACCCGGCGCGGAGGGCGCGGGGGCGCGGCCAGCTGGCCCCCCTCGCTGCCGCGGGCATGGCCGGCCCTGCGCTCTGCGCGTGGTGAGCAAGGACGGCGAGAACAAGGGCCGGCGCTTCTTCGCGTGTCCTCTGCCCCGAGGGGCGCAGTGCGGGTTCTTCGAGGTGAGTGAGACGGGCCGGCCACGGCAGCGGGCGCTCGGCCGTTCAGATGGACAAAAGCAGTCCTTTTCCGGGCTCACCTTGCACTTTTCAATGGCCAGGTAGACTCCGTCTAAAGCCTGAATGTTGAGTAAATTAGAATTCCAGGAGGTTCACCCAAAACAAAAACAGAAACAAAAAAAAAATCAAAGAATAGCTATTGTCTTAGCAGAGTGTCTCCTATCCGTGACCACAGTGTAGAAGTGTCGCCCCCGGTTTATAAAGATAGGGAGGTGTTGAGTAATTTCACATGGGGCTAAATAATCCAAGCGAGGGGTTCGCTCTCCCTCATCTCCGTGCTATTCGCAGACGCTCGGCGTGTGCCCTGCATAGAGGTACACCAGAAGGCGCGTACATGCTTGGATTTACAATCAGCTTAGCGACTCCTGCCTCTCGAGCTCGACTTAACGGAAGCCGGGGCAGTTACAGTGTGGATGTGCACGATTGCTCAGCCCTTTGGATCTGTGCGTGTGCCCCTGAGACGGGTGGAGACACCAGTGTGCACAGTGGTTAGAGCGTCGTCCGGGAACTGCACGATTGCAGATCTGACTTCCAGCCAAAGGCATGTACTTGGGTTGCAGATTCGACCCCTGGCCCCACTCCCCTCGTGGGGTGTGCAAGGGAGGCAACCAATCAGTGTTTCCCTTCCTCTTTCTCTCCTTCCTCCCCACTTCCACTCTCTTTAAAAATCAATGGAAACAATATCCTCGGATGAGGATTGACAACAAGAACAAAAGAACCGGGTCCTTCGGGTCATCCTCACTCTGCGATCCTCAGAGTGAGCATCCCTCTGGCTGAGGGTGACTCGTGTGTAAAGATACGTGTTTTTCAACTGCGTCACCTGGCGCATAACTGAAAAAGAAAACACAGACCTGTTTCAGTACTGGAGCAAAATGTTCTCACTGAGAGAGAAATACCTGTTTCCAACGTGGTATCTTCCAATGGAATTCCCAGGGAAAATGGGATGGTGATTGTAGATCTTAACCCCTGTGCAGGATTGACTAGCCCGCTGCACAGAGTGGCTCCGTGGGAAGCTTTTAGAGATGTTAAGGAGAAAATATTATTAGCAATATTAATATCACAGTCTGCTTTATGCCCGTCTTGAGGCCAAAATTAGTGAGAATAAGAGTAATACAGTGGATCTGCCTAAATGAGTTCAACTAATTCTATATTGGATGTGTTCTTTTCTTAAGAAACTAAGGAAGTTTAGTATTAGAATCTCGACAACTCTTTGATCTTAATGGTGTCAACTAAAACAGACCTCTGACAGGAACATGGGTATTGGCTTTATAGCAAGACTAAAGGAAGGTCAGGATTATGGCAATTTTCTGTGTGACCCAAGCAAAATTATGAGATGCTTCTGATAGGATATAAGTGTGATTAAGGGCAACGGCTGATGACATGTGTTTTTATGACGTCAAATGAATAGTAACAGCAATGAGGACAATATGGCAGTAACCTAAGGTGCCCAGGCTTGGCCCCGGTCATTCATTCTCTCTTCCGTCTAAACTCTTCGATCTTTCTGTTTGTCCCCCATAGTGGGCCGACCTGTCCTTCCCATTCTGCGGCCATGGCAGACGCTCCATCATGAGAACGGTGTTGAAGATGGGACCCAACAATGGGAAGAACTTTTTTGTATGTCCTCTTGGTAAGGAAAAGCAGTGCAATTTTTTCCAGTGGGCAGACAAGGAGCCGGGAATAAACACCACTCCGGGATGCTAGTATTTTCTCCCTCCGCAGAATCTCTGGCTTTTCATCTCTTCAAACTGCATGTGTTTAGTTCCCTTTAGTTTACCAGAAAGGTTGCAGAATATCTATGGCACATTGTAAAGTTATCGCAACCTTGGAAAACTGTTCATTATTTTTTTATGTGGGCCATCTTTCCATTCTGTGGCTGTGTATATTCTTTACTTTGATGAATGCTATTTTGTTTCATCAGATGTACAGTATATTACATTCAGTGTGTATGTTTAATGTTTTTATTAATGACAATAAAGTATTTTTAGTGTGCTCTTGGTCTCTTGTAACTTCTTTGGAGAGGATTATGCAAGACAATAAAATAATAGACTGTTCTGTCTGAAATGAATTAATTTTCTCAGGTATCTCCACTGTTCATAATATGCGATTAAAGATACTTTGATTTCATATATATAATTTAAGAAATGAGATCTCCTTTATGGAAAAGAATGTTGTTTCTTTTTTCTTTTTTATAATTCCATTCAATAAACACCAAATTCCTGTTAGATGCTAGAGGTAAGCTAAACACTTGTGTAACTTCAAATACATTTTTGTAGAAAGCTATAGTGATTCAGAATATAAGTGTAACATTTAAGAACAGAAGTTGTGCCCTGGCTGGTTTGGCTCAGTGGTTGGAGTGTCGGCCTGTGGAATGACAGGTTTCAGGTTTGATTCCTGGTCAAGAGCTCATGCATGAGTTGCAGATTCGATCCCTGGCCCTGGTTGGGGTTGTGCAGGAGGCAACCCATGTGTCTCTCTCACATCGATGTTTCTCTCTCCCTCTCTCCCTCTCTCTCCCTTCCTCTCCTTCCCTCCCTCCCTTCCACTCTCTAAAAATCAATGGAAAAAATATCCTTGGGTGAGGATTAAAAAAAAAAAAAAAGAACAGAAGTTGTCTGTATATATTTAGGAGAGAAATTGATTTCTATTTTTCTGATCTTGATTTTAATATCTATTAATTTTTAAAAATAAGTCAATTTCAAGCCCTGGCTGGGTGGCTCAGTTGACTGAAGCATTGTCCCATGCACCAAAAGGTTGTGGGTTTGATTCCTGGTCAGGGCACATATCTGGGTTGCAGGCTCAGTCCCTGGTGGGCGTGGAAAGGCAACCAATCGGCGTTTCTCACATCGCTGTTTCTCTCTGTCTCTCTCAAATCAATAAACATATCATCCTTGGGTGAGGATTTAAAAAATCAATCTCTAAAGCTCAATAATGAATGAACATAACAGTTTGAGGACAATCCCCTAAGGAGTGGGGAGCTGAGAGAGGGATGAACAACAGAATTTATATGCATGTAGGCATGAACAGTGGACATGGACAACAATCGGGGGAAGGGGCAGGGAGGGAAGGGGGAGGGGGGAATCACTGGGGGGGAAAAAGGAGAATCATTTGTAACAAAAATTAATCAAAAAAAAAAAAAAAAAAAAGCTCAATAATGTGTTGTTATATTCTCTTTCTAAGTTTTATCTTAATTCTCTCCTTTTTTTTCAAATTTAGTTTGGGTAACTATATGATTATTTCCCCCAAAGAAAAGAAAAGACTCAATCTTAAGGTATCTGCGCATAGTTGGGGAAAATTCCATTCAGAGCTGTTGGATCTATTTAAAGGAGAGAGAGAGAACAGCGTGGAAGGGGGCTTGAACCCTTGCCGGGTTGTCGCGCAGAGCTGTCAGAGTGAACAGCATGAGGTCACCAGCGAGAGCAGAGTTGGAGCCACAGTCTCGTGTGTTTCACTCCGCCGAGGAGACAGCTACACCCAACCTAAGCCCGGGAACTCAAGCCAAAGAGCTCGGCAGGGCAGTGACCCTACAGGGCAGAGCAGGAGCGAGACTGGACCATTGATGCTCTTAGTGCCACGATGTGACATTCACCGTGTACCTGCAGAAGGAAACTGCAAATTGATTGTGACAAGGAGGGGAAAGGCCTTTTGCAACTCTGGCTGCCGTAAATCCCACTCTCCAAAGTCAGCAAAGCAATGACAAGGAAATATAGGCCAATGAAACAGTCGATTTCAATATGATAAACCTAGATGCTTCTCTAATAAGAAATGGGCAACCTGGCCGGTGTGCTCAGTGGATTGAGCATCCTCCCATGGGCTGAGAGGTCCTGGTTCGATTCCTGGTCGGGGCACATGCCTGGGTTGCAGGCTTGATTTGCCTTTAAGTTCACTGACTATTCTCTATCATCTTTACCATTGGGACCACCCACCAAGTTTTTATTTTTATTTTGATGATTATATTTTTCATCCCTGTCATGAACACCTGGTTCTTTATGACAACTTCTGTTACTTTGTTGAGATTTTTTCCACGGGTTTCAAGAGACTTTAGAGTTGATTCTGGAAGTGCTTCTGTGATGATCGCTTTGAAGTCCTGTCAGATAATTCTCCTGTCTGATGGAGCTCAGCACTGTCATCAGCTGACGTGTCTTCATCGTTGTGGTTTCCCGGTCTGGGCCATGACGGCTGATTCTTTAGGAAATGCTGGATGTTTGGTTATTGTGTTAGGGGACGAGATCCTGTTGAGACCGCTGCTTTATTGGCCACCCTCCTGCTCCGGTGGAGCGTGTGGGTCTGACCTACACTGTGGGCGTTAGTCCCAGTGACAGCTGAGTTTCAGGGCCTGGCAGTGGGGTTCTGTCTGCTTCACTGCAGTCTCGCTGTGGCTCCTGCAATCCCCTGCAGCTGCGAGCGAGCACTCGCTGGTTCCCGGGCCGCCACGTGCAGGAGGGTGTGGGCAGAGGCCCCGGTGCCACCAGACGAAGGAAAGCAGGTGTCACTGTCCCACGGCAGCGGCACCAGGACCTGCTGTCATCTGCCCATCGTTGTGCTGAGCGTCTGGGAGATGCTGTGTGGTCTGCTGCTCCTCACCGCTTTGGCGGATCTGCCTGTTTCTTGGTGTTTCAAACCAATACCGTGTGAACGTGCGGAGAGGCGTTGATCACGGGCGAACACGGAGAAGGGGGTCCAAGGTGCAATCAGCGAGTGAATGATCTTTAAGAGCCACTGTTTCTTGAGCCTTTATTTTTGGACACCTGCTGACACCTGTCATGTATTATTAAATTTAGTCCCTTGAGAACCCGTGAAATTGGCCTTTTCTTGTGGTCTGTATTTCTAATTCTCCAGTTCAGGAGACCTGGCTTGCTTGATGTCGGTCAGGCGAGAAGCTCGGCCTGGGGTTTGAATGCGGCCGGCATGCAGAGCCTGAAGCCACACGCCGAACAGGTCCTCCCACCCTGTGGCAGAGAAAAGGGCTGTCCCCAAATCCCAGGCATGTGATATGTATACATATCTAACGTGCACACGAAAACCGTTGTGGGGTGATGATAAAATTACGATAACTCCCACTCTAAATTTTGTCATGTGTAATTTTAAATGTCCTTCTCAATTACAGCTGACATACAATATTGCATTAGTTTCAGGGGTACAACATAGTAGTTAGACCTTGATGTAATTACAAAGAAATCTCCCGTAAGTCTAGTCCCCATCTGACACCCTACAGTTATTCAGTGTGAAAACTTCTCTGAACTTATTTTAACTTCCCATTACTTTCTACTGCTTTTATTTATTTAACTTCCATTGAAATGTTCATGTACTTTCTAGCAGTACCTGTCATTTGCATATTTCAGGTCATCATTACCAGCAAGTTACTGTGCGAAATGAAGGAATAAGTGTTCTTACGAGTTTCACAAAAGGTGTAGCCTCTTTTCTGAACCTTGTATCTTTCCAGCACTTTATATAAAGTCTCTTCTAGAGCATGTACTACAGTGGGCCTCTGTACCCTGATGTTCCCCTCCTTAAGGTATTGTGTGGGACCTTTTTTGCTCTTCCCAGAATCTTACCAGGTATTGTGCCTTGCACACAGCAGCAACTTGGTAAACATGTTGAACTTACTAGGTGAAGGTTTAATGTAATGTAAGCCTCGTGAACATTTTTGATCTTGTTACCACTATTCAGACATGAATGCACTTAAATGTAATAGAAAAGAGTGTTGCTGGTTTATTATAAAAGAGAAAGAACGTGCTCCATGGCTAAAAGCTCTTAAATATTTCTAGTAATTAAAATTCAAGTCTCCTTTTTGGCCTCTTACAGAAAATTGCTTACAAACGCACTGGTCCAAACGGATCAGATCAAAGGGTTTGCATTCGTGGGGAGGAAAGAAGCTATCAAAGTCACTGCCTGGCTGCTACCCTGAACTTGACAACAAAGAGAAGAGACAATGTAACTGTTCCTCACAGTGCCCATGAGTTCGGAAACCAAGTCAATTGGTTCCAGTAACTTCTTAGTTTTTAAATCAGTTAATCACTACTGAGCACCTACTAGATGAAAAATTCAATGATAGGTATTTTTAAAGAAGATCTTGCCAGTACATAAATGAGGTAGGAAATGATCCGGGACAGTAGCCCTGTTAGCGAAGTGTGGAAGGTGACAGGGAAGGAGACCTCACTCTGATTCATGAGTAGAGGAGATTCAGGGAGGAGGTAGCAGCGGGATTTCACCTTGGTGCAGATTTGCATATGTAGAGGGCATTTCAGGCAGGAGGCACAGCCCAAGTGAAGCCCTCTAAGAGAACAGCACAGGGAATGTGTGGGGAATAGCAAATACTCCTGCGTGGCTAGATCATAGGGTGTTTCAAGGAAAATAGAGGAAGAAAAATCTGTAAAGAAAATCAATTCCATTTCGCTGCTACAAATGGAGCTCCTGAGCAGGGCCAGTTCTTTGTTCTGAGCCTATAAAAATAAATAAGTCCCTCCCCTTAAGGAGCCTGTGGGCAGAGAAGCAAGCCAAAGCACAGGGGTACCCCGTGCTATTAATGATGCAAGCAGAGGGCCTTTGAACAACTGGAGAAAGGAATGTATTCTGCCAGTGTGATGGGAGAGGGCCTTGTATAGGGTTTACTTCCTCAGATGCGAGAATCAGATTGAGTTCTGGAGTCAGAGGGCTAGTTCAAGGACCTGCCTGACTCCTTGCCTTGACCTTGATCGTGTGACCTTGGACAGGCTATTTTATTAAGCTTTGGCCACTGTGTGCCAGGTCTTCGTTTCGTCATCAGTTAGATGGTGAT